CATCATATGGTGATGATAACACTCTTTCCATTCTTCTAGCATCGCTGGAGGATGTTAAATAGATGTTACTAAACTTAGACATTTTTAAATCAGCAGGGCCAGATAACTTGCATCCAAGAGTTTTAAAAGAGCTGGCAGCGGAGCTTCCTGGACCATTGAAGTTGATTTTCAATAAGTCTTGGAGCACTGGGGAAGGTCCAGAAGTGTAGAAGAAAGCTAATGTTGTGCCAGTTTTTAAAAAGGGTAAATAGTCTGACCAGGATAATCACAGGCCTGTCAGCCTGACATTGATCTCAGGCAAGATAACAGAGCAGCTATGATATGAGACTTGATTAATAAAGAATTACAGGAGGGTAAGGTAATTAATGCAAATGAACATGGATCCTGTCAAACTAACTTGATACCTTTTTTTGATGAGATTACAAGTTTGGCAGATAAAGGTAACAGTATTGACATAATATACTTAGACTAATGCAAGGCATTTGACTTGGTACTGCATAACATTTTGTTTGAAAACTAGAACAAGGTAATATTAAATGGCACACACACAAAATGGATTACAACTGGCTAACTGATAGGTCTCAAAATGTAATTGTAAATGGGGAATCATCATCAAGTAGGTGTGCTCATAGGCGTGGCATGTGACTCTGGCGTTTGGGGAGGCTGGGTGGGAGCGCCGGAAGCTCCTCAGAAGTGGGAGGGGCCAACTGGCACCCAGACTGTGGCCTCACCCCCACCTGGCCTCTTCCCCCAAAGGCCCTGCCTGCACTCCACCCCGAGACCCCACTCCACCTCTTCCCCCAAGGCCCCCTCCCCTGAGGCACCCCATGCCCACTCCTCTCCGCCCCTTCCCTGAACCCCCCTGCCACTCGCTCCTCTCTACCCCTTTCCCCAAACCCCCTCTGCTACTTGCTCCTCTTTATCCCTTCCCCTGAGCCCCCTGCTTGCTCCTTTCTGCCCCCTCAGGCCTTAAGGGCAAGTGATGGGGGGAGGGGGCAGAGAGGGGAGAGAGAGGCGGGCAGTGGGTCTCAGGGGGAAAAGACAGAGCGGGGGCAGGAAGATGCTGAGCGAGGGCGAGGCCTCAGGGCTGGGGTGGGGGGCGGTGGCCCCCTCCCTTCTTGGGAGCTCCCAGCAGTGGTGCTCCAACGGCTGCTGGACTGGTGCTCCTCCAAAGGGAGGCACGCTGCCTCCAGCATTTCTTGCCCCGTTAATCCTCTTATACACACTGCCCAGGGGTGTGCTTCCAATGGGGTACACAGGGATTGGTTCCTGGCTATTTAACATCTTTATCAATGACCTGGGAGAAGATATAAAATCTCCACTTAGAAAGTTTGCAGCAAAAATTGGGAGAACGGTAAATAATGAAGAGGGCAGGTCACTCACTGATTCTGAGCGATCTGGATTGCTTGGTAAACTGGGCACAAGCAAGCAAACAATATGTATTTTAATATGGCTAAGCGTAAATGTATTATTTAGGAACAAAGACTGCAGGCCATACTTACAGGACAGGGGACTCTATCCTGGGAAGCGGTGACTCTGACAAAGATTTGATGGGTAAAGATTTTGATGGATAATTAGCTGAACATGAGCTCTAAGTCTGACGCTGGCCAAAAAAGGGAACGCGATCCTGGGATGTCTCGAATAGGAGCGGAGAGGTTATTTTACATCTGTATCTGGCACTGGTGCGACCGCTGCTGGAATCCTGTGTCCGGTTCTGGTGCCCACAATTTAAGAAGGATGCTGATAAATTTGGGAGGGGTCAGAGAAGAGCCACGAGAATGATTAAAGGATTAGAAAACACATGTTAGTGTGCTACACTCAAGGAGCTCAGTCTATTTAGCTTGACAAAGAGACGCTCAAGAGTTCCTTGATCACAAGTGCCTACATGGGAAACAAATATGTGATAATGGGCTCTTCCATCTAAGGGTACGTCTTCACTACCCACCAGATCAGCGGGTAGTAATCGATCCCCGAACGCGCTCCCCGTCGACTCCGGAACTCCACCAGAGCGAGAGGCGGTAGCGGAGTCGACGGGGGAGCCGCGGCCGTTGATCCCGCACCGTGAGGACCCCAGGTAAATCGATCTAAGATACTTTGACTTCAGCTACGCTATTCACGTAGCTGAAGTTGCGTATCTTAGATCAATCCCCCCCCCGCCAGTGTAGACCAGCCTTAACAGAGAAAGGTATAACACAATCCAGCAGCTGGAAGCTGAAGCTAGATAAATTCAGACTGGAAATAAGGCATACATGTGTAAGGGTGAAAGTAACTAAACATTGAAACCATTTACCAGGGGTCGTGGTGGATTCTCCATCACGGACAATTAAATCAAGATTGGATGTTTTTCTGAAAGATCTGCCTTAGGAATTATTTTGGGGAAGTTCTCAGTCCTGTATTATACAGGAGGTCAGACTAGATGATCACAATGCTTCCTTCCGGCCTTGGAATCTATGCCTTTCCCAGCCTGCTTGGTATTTTTTTGGAGTGTAAAAACTTCAATGATTAACTGAGTGAGGAATGCAAAAAGGTCAGTCTGTTTCCCGGTATTATAAAACAGGGCTAAGGCTCTGTTGCCTTGTGTAATCATAGACACCTGTATAAAGTGAGAGTCAGATGCTAGCACTCTGGTCTGATGCCTTTTAACCCTTACTTTGTACAGGCGTCAATGACAGCACAAGCTGCAAGACAATGGACAATCAGGCCTAATAATTATTCTTTACAGAAACCCATTAGGAGGGCTTGGGGGAAGGGGGGAGGGATAGCTCAGTGGTTTGAGCATTGGCCTGCTAAACCTAGGGTTGTGAGTTCAGTCCTTGAGGGGGCCACTTAGGGATCTGGGGCAAAATCAAAACTTGGTCCTGCTAGTGAAGGCAGGGGGCTGGACTCAATGACCTTTCAAGGTCCCTTCCAGCTCTAGGAGATAGGATATCTCCATTAATTTCAATTTACACTGGAGCTTCAGGATACTTTAGGCCACCCTGCTCAGACCCCCAACATAAGGTTGTGGCTGGAATGCTTTGATGATCCCTCCCCTCCAGCCCTGAAGCTTCTCTATGTGTTGCTGGGAGGCTGAAGCAGCTCCAGGGAAGTCATTGGGAGGTGCCTTACTGTGCTTCATTTGTAATGAAAGAGGGGCCCAGGGCTGAAGCAATTTTTTTACATTCATAACTGATAGAGCAAGCCCAGAGGTGCCGAGGCTAGGAACTGCCAAGTCTAGCGATGCCAGGGCTCAGGGCACCAATTAAGCACTGATATCTTGTGGTCATGAACCCTGCCCCCCTAGCGGAGCTGCAGGGGGACCATCTAAGGCTCAGAACTGGAGGTGGACACATAGGATCTCAATTGATGATTCAGCCCACTGCAAAGACTGGAGCAAGTGGCAGAACTAAGTCCTTCATCTGGGTTTGAATTTCATGTATGCACCCCCCCAAAGTTCTGGGGTGTTCAGATCGGGGGGGGGGGGTTGGAAGGGCTGGATTAATGCAGGTGCGTTAGGGGCTGCAGCCCAGGACTCCGGGCTAAGGGAGGCCCTGGCGCAGCAGGGCTCAGGCATATAGGTACCAACTTTTCCCGGCGCCAGTGGGTGCTCGCCTCCGGCCTTGCCCCAACTCCACCCCGCCCCCATTCCAACCCCTTCCCCAAAGTCCCCGCCCCAACTCTGCCCCCTCCCAGCCCCTATTGGACTTCTTCCCCAAATCCTGGCCCCGGCCCCACCTCTTCCTGGAGTGCGCCGCGTTCCCCCTCCTCCCTTCTCCCTCCCAGTACTTGCCGCCGCAGTACATCTGTTTCGTGGTGGCAAGCACGGTGAGGTAGGGGGAGAAGCGGAGATGTGGCGTGCTCAGGGGAGGAGGCGGAGTAGAGGTGAGCTGGGGTGGGGAGCTGCCGGTGGGTGCAGAGCCCAGCCCCGGAGCACCCACGGAGTTGGCGCCTATGCTCAGGCAGGCTGCCTGCATGCCGTGCCCCATGACACTTCCAGAAGTGGCCAGCTGCTGGCACATCTCTGTGGCCCCAGGCAGGGGAGGAGGGGGAGGCGGCTCCAAGCTCTGCCCCTGCCCCCAGCACCATCCCCACAGCTCCCATTGTCCGGGAACTGGCCAATGGGAGCTGCGGGGGTGGTTCTTGCAAGCACGGGCAGTGCACGGAGACATGCTATTCCCCTCCCCCCACGGGCGCACAGAGACATGCCAGCAGCCGGCCACTTCTGGGATCGGCGTGGGGCCATGACATGCAGGCAGCCTGCCTGAGCCCTGCTGCTCCGCCGGCCAGGAGCTGCCTGTGGTAAGCGCCTCCTGGCTGAAGCTTGCACCTCGCATCCACTCCTGTACCCCAACCCTGTGCCTCAGGGTCAGAATCCCCTCCTGCACCAAACTCCCTCCCAGACCCTGCACCCTGACACTCTGCCCCAGCCTGGAGCCCCCTCCTGCACCCAAACTCCCTCCCAGAAAGAAACTAATATAACAGCTGTTCTAAGGTAAGACATAGGCTATTCTGAATTAACTATATTCTATATGTTTTAAGACTGAAATGTAACCACAAAATGGCTTTATGTTAATTAAAAAGCAAGTTTAGTATAGAGTTAATAGCTTCAATGCCATAATTGTGATCATTTTGTTTTAAATTAGGAAAAAGACTTGTATACAGGGCCCCACAAAATCGAATAGCCCCGGGCCCACAGGAGAGTTAATCCGGCCCTGGGGATTGGTTGTGCCCCTCTCTACAGAAAAGGGGGCTTGCTGGGTAGATAGGTCAATATAAAGGTTTGGGTCGGTTTTTTTAAATGGGTACTTTGTCCATCCCTAGTTTCCCTTGTGCCCCATTATGGGGCCATGGTTGCTGCCCACGCTGGTTGGACTCTGTCTGGGCCCCTTTTACCTGTCTAGACACAGGTGAATCTGTTGGTTTTGGCAGATGCCTTTGCTCTGTGCCCTGGCTGACGCTGCACAACCAGGAAGTCCCTGAGATTGCAGCTACCCACCCACAGACTCCTGTTCAAAGTTTAGAGCAACTGGGGAAAGGCAGCTCACAGCTGGGAGAAAGTTTCCCTGCAGAGAAGGAAGCCCCCTTCCCCCTTCCAGGAGGCAGGGCAGGTTGGGACCTGCAGGAGACTCTGAGCCAGGGCCTTGCTTCTCCTTGTGGTGAGTGGCTTTGTGCTCACAGAAAGTTTGTTCTGGGAGAAGCGAGTGGGAATGAGGGTGGAGATAGCAGCTGTGTGCTCTCCCCTGGGGCTTCCCTCTGCACTGCCCTGGGGAAAACCAGCATGGGGGCACCCTGCTCTCCCTGGTGGGATACAGGGGTGACCCCTGCCCCCTTCTCTTCCCTATGGCTCCTCTGCTGTCCCTGAGGTGGGGGGGGCAATCTACTCTCTCCCATGGGGAGTCCCTTTGCTCTCCTAAGGGGGCTGCCCCATATCCCTAGTGAGCCCCTTGTCCTCCCCAGGGGGGCCTTCTTCCTTTGCTCTCCTGCAGGAGTTGTGCCTTAGGAAGGTTCCCCTCCCTCCTCCTGGAATTAAACCTGCCGCCTTGCATTGCTCAGACAGGGGAGACTGGGAGGCAAGGTGGGGCTTCTCCCTGTGGCTTTGAAGTGGGGACTGGCAGGGTCCAGGGGTGTTTGAAAATGGGATGCAGAGTACAGGAGTCTCCAAGCTAGATGCAGGGGGATCTCAGTGTTGCTGGCAGAAGGGGGCATGGCTCTGTAAAAGTGGGGAGCTCCTGGAATTGCAGGGAGTTGATTGGAGGACAGTGGTTATGAAGTGCTGTGGGGAGCATGTGGGGGGCAGCAGCAGGGTGGTTATGAAGTGGCATGGGGGGTGTGGGGGATGGGGTGTCTGGGAGGGTGGGTATGAAGTGTTATGGGGCTGTGGGGGATGGGGTGTCTGGGAGGGTGGCTATGAAGTGGTATGGGGCTGTGGGGGATGGGGTGTCTGGGAGGGTGGGTATGAAGTGGCATGGGGGGGGTGTGGGGAAAGTGGCAGGGGTTTCAGAGGAGTGGTTTCCCCGTGGTTATGAAGTGGTGTGGGGGGAGGGGTGGTTGTGAAGTGGCCTGGGGGGTTGTTGTGGGGAGAGTGCGGGGGTTCAGAGGGGTGGTTAGGGAGTGGCATGGGGGGCTGTGGGGAAAATAGCGGTGTTCAGGGGGTGGTGATGAAGTGACATGAGGACTGGTGGGGAGGTGGCCAGGGATCGCAATGCGAGGGGATGGCAGAATCCCCAGTTTGCACACTGGGAGGAGATCTGAGTTGTATGCAAGACCTGGAAGCCCAGATCAGGAAGAGGGGTGGCTGGTATCTCCTACCAGACTGCTTTTGTGTCCCTAAGGGAGGGAGGCAAATCACTGAGGGACTAAGGCCATGAGGGAATATGTGGCGCCTGGTATCTCTGGGCTGGGCCTTCTCTGACTTTATTAGTACTTGGGCATTGGGCAAGCGCCTCCTGAGAGCCCATCCCTGCCCTAAAGAACTTGCATTCTATATGCACAACAGACCATGCTGGGATGAGGGAAACACAGGCCCAGGGAGGGAAAATGATTTGCCCAAGATCACCAGCAAGCTGGCAGTTAGGATTAGAACACAGGTCTCCTGAATGTCAGCTTAGTGTCCTAACCATTGGATCACACTGGCAGGCAGGTTCAGGCAAGCACCCTTCAAGGTGACTTGAGGCGTGGGGGGAAGAATTTAGCTTGGGCTCCTATTGTGCAAGCATAAAGAAGGCCTGAAACTTTGGTGGTTCTAAAAAAAAAGTGTTTTTTAAAAAAACAAAACAAAACATTTTTTTCTGTGCTTTTTTTCCTCCTTAGAAATACCAATGACAACTCCTGTCTCCCCTCTGGTGTTCAAGATTTCCTTGGGAGCTTTCTCATCCCTTCACTGAAGAAATTGTGAAGGTTGGGGGGCGGGGGAGATTGGATCTTTAAAAGAGACATTTCTCCCAAGTGTTTCTCATGTGTTTGAGTTAAATAGGTACGTGGGGTAGAGGCAGAACAATGAGTTGTCAGCAGTCTGAATAAAAATAATTTCCCCTCCTGGTGAATCAGGTTTCACTTCGGTCCTGTGTAGGCTAGAAAAATTGGTTGTATTTGAAAATCTGGTAGCTAATAGGTTTTTTGAAACACAACTTGATACCAAGCTCAGACACAGCTTTAAAAACCTTTACAACCGCCTTGGCAAACTCCCCTGGGAGCCTTTAAAAATATGCTAGCTGGCCATGGCCCTAAGATCGGCCGTGACCAGCTAATCCGTGTCTACGCTAGGTGCATAATGCCTACTGAACAGCTTCTCTTGATTTAGCATTGTCCATATCAAGCCCATTACATTGGTGTGTGCCCTCCCCCAGACCACTGGTGAAGAGAACCATACTGCTCCTGGTATTGACTAGTGTGTCCTCTCCACCCCACCGCTGTTATCACTTACCTATTCACCAGCTGTTATTACTTATATACTTTTCTGTTCACTTCCTTCTTGGTTCTTGTTCCCCAGCTGCTCCTCTTTGAGAACAGGCCACTTGCTGTGAGTAACTAGGCTGTAAGAGAGACATCTCTTGCAGCCAAGATTTTGGGTGCTCCAATATGACACCTTAACGGGGTCTGGTTTTTCACCAGCCCATTGTATGGACCTTTGTCTTGATGTGCACCCAGATCCACTAGTTATTCCTGGAAATCTTGGTCCATATTTTTCCTCCTTCCTCTCCAGCTAGCCCACGTCTGCAGTCAGATGGCACCTTCCTGTCTGTGCCATCTGATCAGCACTCTGGTTTTCTTCAGCTCTTGGAGCTTCCCTCTCATTCACCAGGCAGAAGCTCCTGCTGCTTTCACCGTGAGCTGTCTTGGATCCATGATGACCGCTCCGTATTCCGGATGTGATGTTGTGCAGTCTATATGGTTTTATAAAAATATAAGTGACTATAATGTAACTGGGATATGCTTTGTGCAAAAGGTCTCTTGTAAGGTATCATTACAAAGCTCATAATCTACTGAGTGTGATCATCCTATTTGTAGAAATGTACCACTCTTGTGTCTAAAACTAGAAATCTAAAACATAACTCTGAGGGCCTATTGTAATTATGTAAAGTGTGGGCCATTAAGGATGGTTTGGAATCTTGATGACTCCCATTGTCTGCAGATGGCTGTATTTACCTGTGAGTCTTCCTGTATATGTGTGTGCTGGCAAGTGGGCAATGAAGTCTTGTAGTGATATGTGATCATGGGAAATTGGAATCTGAAATAACCTGTAGCATCTCCCAGCTTCCAAACCTTTTTACAAGCATTAATGAAACAATTCTCAAATCACTAGAGCTCTGCAAATTTGCAGATATCTGCTTTATATCCATAGGCCATATTTGCCGACCAGATGCAGATACAAATTTTGTATCCGTGGAGGGCTCTGCAAATCACCCTCAGGTAGTTCATAATTACTATTCCCATTTTTTTCATGGGAAAACTGAGTCTGAGTCTTTGCCATGATCACACAGCACATTAGGGTTAGAAGCCAAGAATTCCTGGATCCCAGCTCTGGCCTCAGACCTCATCATACCATGTTTCTAACCTATAAGTATATTGCAATTGACACTACTATGATGAGCTCTTCTGTCATTATCTGAAATAATGAATTGGGGTCCCACTGTGCGAGGCATTCTACTCACCCCTAGAAAGAGAGAGCCCCTGCCCCAAAGAGATTACAATCTAAACAGATATGATGGACAAAAGCTGAGAGAAAGGAAGTTGTATTATCCCCATTTTACAGATGAGGAACTAAAATGCAGACTGGCTCAGATCCTTATAGATAGTTAGGCTCCTAACTTCCATTGAAATCAGTTTCAGTTAGAAACCTAAGTGATTTGACCAAGGTAACCCAGGAAGTCTGTGGCAGAGCTATGAATTGACCCCCAACCTCCTGAGTCCCCAGCCAGTGCCGTAAGTGCAAGGCCAGCCTGCTTCAGCTTAACCTTCCTTCCGCACTTGGGGTCTATTCCTGCAATGTGCCCTTGGAAATTATTGAGGACGTTCAGCACTTTTCCATAGTGAGTGATCAGCCAGGGTGACTGACGGGGGATTAATGATCTTTCTGTTGTTTGAGGGCAGGTGCTTTGTAGCGGTTGAGATCTCCTCTAGAGGCTAAATTTAGATGGCCAATTTTCCCCATGGTGTGGTGTTTTCAGTCAAGAAACTTTGCCCCCGCTTGAGCAGCCAGACCACATATCATAAGAAAGAAAATGAGAGATTGTTTTCTCAGGGCTCTCTAATTTGTAAAGGTTCAGAGAGGAAATTCTATAGAGTCCTAGAAACAATATGATTCTCCAATTCCCTAAGTGCATTCAGTGTTGGTGAAAGGTGCCAGACTGAAAACCCTGGAGAGCTAAGCCCCCGAGGTACTCAGAGTAGGTATAACATGAATGGATGATGCAAATCCTCCATTCTATTCTATCTAGGTTCTTACACCATCTTCGTTGCTCATCACTATAGCATCTGAGTGCCTCCCAGTTAGTGCATTAACCACTGTCCTAAGCACCTGTCACCTGTTGTATCTTCTCTCATCCTCTCCCCAAGGGGAGAAATGCATTCACTGGAATGTCTTGTTTTGGTGAGGGCTTTAGGTTTTTGGATTTTTTGTTTTGTTTTAAATATACCTGCTGCTCTGTATTTATTAGAGAAGGCAAGGTCCAAAAAAGGCACCTTTCACTTGGAGTGGAAAGTGGTGAGGTTTGTGGTGGTCCCTAGGGCCTGGGGGAGTTCATGCTGCAGGCCCAGACCAGCCCCCGAGAACGTTCTGTCTCCTTCACAGACAAGCTGTTCCCATATTTTTGAGAGTTCCATTGTGCCAGAGGAGCAGAGTTGTTGAGCAGGGTCTTCATCTTGGAGCTTTCGGCTGTTTTAAATAGGCTGCACTCAGGAGTGCTTTGAAGCTAAGAAGCAAGACCTTGAACTTGATCCCAAAGTCTCTGGGAAGCTGGTGTAGAGAGCAGAGGGTGGGCGTGATGTGCTCGTGGTCGCCGGTCTTGCTGAAGGGATGCTCTGCAGAGTTCTGTACTTGTTGGAGTTTCCTAAGTGCTGAAGGCTTCATGCCCAGGTATATTGCATTGCTGCAGTCCCGCCAAGCATTGACAAAGGTGCGTGTAACCAAGGGCAGGTCATCATCCATCGGGATGGGACAGAGCTTCCTAGACAACCGGAGTTGACAGAAAGCATTATTTGTGGTTGCTGCTACATCAGACCTTAGTGTCAGCAAGAGTTGAAGAGTACTTCTAAAGTGGACTGAACTGACCAATTCAACCACAGACTGCAGCATGGCTGCAAACTCCTCGACATACTTCCCTCTCCCCACCATCCTCGCCTCTCTTGCCTGGGTTCAGCTTCAGCCAAATGCTCATCCGCGAGCTGATCTCGGCCAAGCACTGGGCCATCTTCATGGTAGTGGCATGGTCGTACGTGGTGAAGGATAGGAACAACTTTGTGTCATCTGCATATTGCTGGCGCTTGAGTGAGTGTCATCTGACCAGTTCACCTACTGGTTGTGTGAAGAGGTTGAAAAGGACCAGAGAGAGAACTGATCCCTATGGGACTCCACAAAGGAGGGGTCCTGCGGTGGAGATACTCTCTTTCCCATCACTACTTTTTGTATGTGCCCTTCCAGGAAGAATTCAGACCATTTTAGCACATTCCCCTGGGCCCCAGTTACCTCTCTCAGGTGAGGGGCACCACTTTGCTGCCTGCACACCGCTCTGAAAGAAGCCTCTCAAGTGCGGTCCTAGGAATTTGGTCTCTGTGGTGAATTCAGTCCTTAGCCTCCTGGCTGAGAGTGCCAACAAGTGTGGTGAGGTTTGGGAATATGACACTGTAACAAATATACTTGCTGCAGGTAAGTGTGCATGTCAACTCCCCAAACTCCATTCCAGGAAGTTGGGCCTTCAGCCTTAGGCGCCAAAGGCCTCTACCAGCTGAGCTAAAGGAGAATTCCCTGCGTACTGTGATTCGTGGTCCCTAGCCCAGCCACTAAGATTATGGCTATGCTGCAGGCAGTGATATGGCAATAGCACGGGTGGGCATACCTGCCCTACCTTGAATCGAACTAGCACTGGTAACAATAGTACTGTAGACATGGAGGCATGGGCTTTGGCATAGGCTAGCAACCCAAATAGGTCCCCACTTCTGTTCCTAGATTAAAGCTAGCGCAGGTTTGCCTACTGTGCTACAGTAACACCTATTGCCGTGTAGACACAATCGTAAGGGCAACGTCACTTGTGTTAACGCGTTTCGTAGGTGCGAGGCCTGAGAATGTCTAAGAAGTCGGCCCCGTTCTTATCATCAGTTTGTTTCTAGGGCACCATGGATGCACATGGTGGTAGCCCTGTACAAACACAGATGTGCTGAGCAACAGTCGGAGTCCCTGCTTGCAAGAGCTTCCAGGGAGCATGAATGCAGCAGAGAGGACAGATTAAATCTCTCATGCCAATAAACTGCCTTTGCCAAGACTCAGGGTCCAAGGCTAAGCTGGTGAAGGATCAGCTGGAACACAGCAATGCTGGTATGTGTCTTAGATTCTTTGCTCCGAGCGTACCGACCTGAGGCCAGTCAAAACCAGGAGGAACTGAAATAAATCACGTTGGTGCAGCTGAAAACAATGCAAGCCTCTCTCGTGAGTCAGGCTCAGCAAAACTCGATCATCCTGTTTGTTGTTTCCTGGGACCACATGGATCTTGCGGCTGCTTCTCTGGGGGTCTCATCTTTGTCCCCTCTGCTCCTAGGTTTTTTTTTATTTATTCCTTTTCTAAGTTTTACCATTCTCCCGGGGCTACTTATGCTAATATAATCCGTCTGTTGCTCCACCCAAGGAACAAGGGTCTCAGCTATTTTTTCCAATGCGGATTGAGGGCCAATTTTCTTAGTTTGTCATCTTAAAAAGGGAACTTTAATTTCTTTCTGGGGGAGCGAAATGCGCCTGATTTTAGTCAAGCCCCTTCAGCTTCTGGTGGGAGAGAGCAATAATGTGGTTCGTGAGGCTGAGAATTCGGTTTCGGGGCGGGGGGTTGGTGGTAAATGTTTCTTTTGGGAAATAGTTGGTCTTTTTCTTCCCTAACTTTGGAAATTAGGAACAGAAGGTCCGAGCTTTAGCTGGGGAATCCAACAGGGCTCCACCAACTGCAGATCTGGCTCCGAATGTCCTTTTTCCCCATCTTTGCCCTGTCTATTTCCAGGTGGGCTCTAAATGCAGGGCTGGATTAAGGTGAGGATGCATGGAGATCTAAGCTGAGAGGGGCCCATTCACCCACTAATGTTAGAGGGGCGGGCCCTGTCAGAGTGTGCGGGATCTCTCCTGAGAATGGGGAGCCGGAAGCAGCCACAGAAAAAGAGCCAGGAGCACTGTGATTTGTTGAGTCTATTGGGCCAAGCCCAGTTTCGGCTCAATCCCTCACTGTCTAAGCACATTCCATACAGTTCATGCTGCTGGAAAGGACGTGTTGCTTTCGCTTCTCTTGTATTTTAGCTCGTTTCATTATTAGTATACACAGGGTTGTATAGGAGAAGGTTGCAGCTGAACAGGTAACACCACCCTTGCTCGGAAAGGGCTCGCTCTAAGTGAATGCAAACCGTACAAGACCAGACAGATCATACACAAAGCAACAGGGTGGGGCCAGCGCAGCTTGACATAGGTATGTTCTGAAAGTCTCTTCCCAGAGATGGAGGGTGGTGTGGGCCACTATTCCAGGCACATGGAGTGGCATGGGAGAGGGGTCGCAGACCCAAGCACTGAACACCGAAAATAGTAATTGGCAGTCCTCTGAAATGCCTTTAAATACAGGGCTCTTGGAGCTCTTTACAAACATTCATTCATTCTCCCGACTCCCCGGAGAAAGGAGAGAAGTATGGCACAGAGAGGGAACTGAGCAGGGTGAAGGGAAGGGACTTGCCCAAGGTCACATGGGGAGTGGGGGGTAAAGCCAGGAGGAGAGCCCTGCTGTAAAGGTCGATACCGGTGTTTCCCAAACGGCGTGCCATGGTGCAGTGCTGTGGGTGTCAGGTCTGAACCAGTGTGCCGTGTCTTTTTTTTTTAAATGCGAGAACAAAAACATCCTTCCCTTCTATTTGAATGAGTGTTGGAGCCGGATCCCAGTCTGTACTTTTGCTCTCTGGGACGAAGTCACGTTCCATCCCCCAAAGCCAGGTTAAGATAGCAAGTCTGAGTCCTGCAGGGTGGGGGTGAGAAAGGAAAGGGGGGAAGCTGCCTTCTGATTGCCCATCTGCCTCACTGCCCCGCCTCCTCCAGTGGCAGAGCAACCAATCCAAGCGCCAGCTCCCTCTCCTCCCCTCCTGTGATCAATGGGTCAGCTTCTCCCCCTCCCTCCTGCAGCCAGGGGCGGGGCGAAGATCCCCTGGGGTCCCCAGCCTGGAAGGGGAGCGGGGACCCTACTGCAGCCCCTCAGGGTTGGGCGGGGGCAGGAACCCCAGGAGAAACAGAGGTGAGGCAGGCAGGGGAGCTGAATTTGGGTGGGAGGTGGTGGACCCAGGGGGGCAGAACTGGTGAGGGAGCTGTGGAGGCAGAACTGGTAGGGACAGCACTGGGGTCAGATGGGGCTGGACTGGTGGTGGGTAAGGACAGAACTGATGGGGGGCTTCAGGGTAGAACTAATTTGGAGACTAGGGGCACAGGATTGATTTGGAGGTTGGGGGCAGAATTCATTGTTGGGGAAGGGACGGTAGGATGACCAGACAGCAAATGTGAAAAATTGGGGCAGGGGTGGAGGGTAATAGGAGCCTATACAAGAAAAAGACCCTAACATTGGGACATCTGGTCACCCTAGGGGACAGGGAGATGTGGAGGTGAGAACTCCTGCAGCAGGGGCCATACAAAAGGAGAGCCTCGAAGATGAAAAGGTAATAACATAAGTCTTGATACAGAATAATGTTGGTAGCTGTTGTTTCTTGATTGGTACAACTGTTGTATTATTCGTTCATCATATAATAAAACAATTTTTGTATTTGGCGTCTGGGTGTGAATGTGTGAGTCGACTGAAAATGAATGTCACAGGCTGTACAATAAAGTGAACGATGTTTGTTAGAGTCTGTTGTAAAGACTCTGAATGGCCAGGGTGGTAAACAGCCAGGAGCACCGCCGGCTTTTCTGTGGCCCTAGGTGGCGGAAGGTCCCGCCCTGAAATGCCGCCCCCCACAGAGGCGGTGGAAGGTCTGGCTGCCGAAACCCCCAAATTGGTAGTGCCCTAGGCAACCACCTAGGTCGCCTAATGGGTTGTGCCGGCCCTGTAAACCGCTTGAACTGAGGCGATAAGAGGGCGAATTCGTTTTGGAGACAAAATAACTAAATGTTTCCAGGTGTGCCATGGCAGAGAGAAGGTTGGGAACCACTGGTCTAGATCAGTGTTTCTCAAACTTTTTTACTGGTGACCCCTTTCACATAGCAAGCCTCTGAATGCAATCCCCCCTCCTTATAAGTTAAAAATACTTTTTAGTTATTTAACACCATTATAAATGCTGGAGGCAAAGTGGGGTTTGAGGTGGAGGTTGACAGCTCGCGACCCCCCCATGTAATCACCTCATGACTCCCTGGGCGGTCCCGAGCCCCAGTTTGAGAACCCGTGGTCTAGATGTTTTGTTACCTCTTTACGCCCCCTTCTTTTGCTGCTTTATTCCACAAATATTTATAATACATTTAAATTTAACAGAGCAATTAAAACTGATTAGTTGAGATTATTTTTTAATCGTTTGACAGCCCTCGGTTTTTAATTTTTATTTTTCATATTGTCTTATAATAAATCTTAGAAAAGAAAAGTCCTTTTCAAAAGAAAAATTGAAATGTTTCATGACGAAAATGTCAAAACAGGACACGTTGATGGTATTAGGACTTTCCCCTTTCTTACTCTGAAACAAAATTGTAGCAAAACCATGTCAATTTCATGAAGCATTTTGATTTTGGCAGAACTGCAGTTCCTGACAAAACTCGTCGTTCAACCTTTTTCTGACCAGCTCTAGCTGAAAGGCAGCCAGCCTGGCAGAAGGGAAGCTTTAGGATGGATCTGGGCTTGAGGTCAAGGGCTCGCTGATCATTTTCGCTGTCTGGATCCAATATTCTAGCACTTGGTGCTGTTCATTTGATGTTCCTCCCTTGCAGTGTGGGGTGTTTAATAACCCCTGGCAACATTTCTCTGGTTGTTACAGGAGGGTTCATAAAACCTTAGTAAGTTCCATAAACCCTGCTGCTGGGCTTGGGGCGTGATCCGAGTCCCTTTCTCACCTGCTACCAAAGTCCAATCCCCATCTCACACCACCTCCCTAAACTTTACACATGCACATATTATATATCATACCACTATACAAACCTTCAGATACAAGCATGCCCTTGTGCAAACAACACATGCCGCCTCCTTCTGATGCACATTGCTACCTGAATAATACAAATGTTGCAGGTTGGTGCTGGTGTTCTTTGTGATTTTTATTTGCCGTGCGTTTGTTTCTTTTTTCAGTGGTTTTATTGCCCCTCCCCTTCCACCTGGCCACATGGCTCCCTCTTCGGCAGAGAGACCAGAGTATTCGACAGTCACTTTCAGCTCCTGCCTGCTGCAATGGAGTTTAGCATCCATTGTCCCTGTCCTGCTCACGGTTCTCCTGCTCCTTCTCTGCATCCCCTTTAAAAGGTAGGTGCTCTCCCTCCTAAATCTCTCACTCTTGCTTGCTCTCGTTATTCATGATGAGTGCTGCTGGTGGAAGGTGCTGGGCTGGGCTGTCAGCCCTGGGGACAAAGGACCACATTCAGAGTGGAATCTAAGGGCTTGCTGAATTTGGGAAAACTGGCACTGGTATAACTACACTGATGTAGTTCCATCGCTGTAACCCCCTGGTGCTGACACTCTGTGCCTGTGCAAAATTGAAGCTAGACAATTTGAGACCAGAAATAATGTGGAAATTAATTACCCCTCACTGTTAAAAATCACTGGAACAACTTATGAAGGGCTGCGGCAAATTCTCCATCACTTTAAAATCAAGATTGGATGTTTTCTAAAAGCTAAGCTCTCGTTCAAACAGGAATTAATTCAAGGAAGTCCTATGGCCTGTGCCATACAGGAGGTCAGGTTAGAGGAACACAATGGTTCCTAACCTATGAATCTGTGAAAATGGGTTTTGCACCAGTGTCTGGTCTATATGCAGAGCTGCACCAATTTCACTAAAGGTGTGTTTTGAAAGAGATTTCGTTTAAGTGGTGCAAACTGCTGTGTAGATGCTCTTAAATCAGTTTAAACCTGGTCTATAGCTGAATTTGGTTACTAACCGTTTTTAAAATGTACCAGTTTAAGTTTAATAGGCTCTAGATCAATTCAGTTAAAGCAGTGCCCTGCTTTAGTGTAGACAAGGCATCCCTAACACTTTGGTCAGAGAACATAAGTGGGTCAAAGGGCATTTGCATGCAAAGGAGTCTGACTCCCCCTCTTTCTCCCCCACCCCAGAAAAAATTGGCTGAATTCAGCCCTAGCAATGGCTGAATTCAGCCCTAGCAATGGCTGAATCAGAGAGTTAATTTTTTAGCTAGCACAAATATCAGGCCTAGGTGGTGAGCTGGATATTTCTGATGGGTATTCATCTATCTGCATGCTAGGCTGCTCACCGCCCTGTCTGATGTGACAGCGCCTCTGCGGGGAGAGGGATGAGAGCGAGACAGAGCACCTTGCATTTGTTGATGCCAGTCTCCTTGGCTGATTGAGGATAATACAGATCAGCCTTAATGGGGGTCCCGTGAAATTTGTGGCAGAGCAAGTGGAGGGAAGGGGCTGAAAGGACCATATGGGAGGGACAGAGCGGCTTCCCCTTCACTCCAGAGAAGGAAGCAAAGCTGTGGTCAAGCCCTGGGCCAGTTGAGAGACCAGCTGCACTCTCTCCAAAGGACACTCTGTGCAGCGGTGCTGTGAGATTTCTCCCTTGGAGGTGCACTTTGCCAGCTTGGCCACTGGGTGGCATCCGCTCACACACATGGCAGTGACAGAGCATTTGTGTGGCAATTTAACTCTAGCCATTAACTCACCCAGGGCAGAAGGGGAATTCGGCTACCCAGGTTTCATGTCGCTAAGAACAGGGGTTCTCAGCCTTTTTCTTTCTGCCCCCCTCCCAGGATGTAAAATCTCCACGGCCCACCTGTGCCGCAACAACTGGTTTTCTGCATATAAAAGCCAGGGCCGGCATTAAGGGGTAGCAAGCAGGACAATTGCCTGTGGCCACAGGGCCCCTGCAAAGCGAAGTTGCTCAGGCTTCAGCTTCAGCCCCGGGTGTCGGGACTCAGGCCCTGGGATTCAGCCCCATGCAGTGGGGTTTCAGCTTTCTGCCCTAGTCCCCAGCAAGTCTGACACTGGCCCTGCTTGGAGGACCCCCAGAAACCTGTTCGTGGCCCCCCCAGGGACCCCCGGTTAAGAACCACTGGGCTTAGAACATCTCTTGCTGCTAGTATCATGTGGGACTTCATCTGCAAAGCCTCATTGGCAGAGCCAGATTTTAAAACCGAATGGTGGGGGAGGGCAGAGTGAGGGGTCGCTGGTGGTGGGTTGGAGAGCGAGCCCACCCCATGCTCGCTTGGCAGCAGTCGGTTGTTGCGACCTGGCACATGGGGTTATGGCACCAGCTCCATCTTGACAGAGGGGCGGCCGGGACAAATCTGAGCGCGTGGTGGTGTGACATACCATAAGGGGTCACGGAGACACGTGACTCTGTGCACCAGTGTTGCAAAACGGAGTGGGTAGCCACGCCCAGCCCCCGGGACAGGAGCTGCTTCCGCCCTGCGTGAAAATTTGTGTCGTGTGCCTCCTTTTGTCAGCTGCATAATGGGCTTGAAAAAGCACCCCATGTACATCGAAAGCTGCCGGTGGAGGGAATGGCCCGGTCACTCTGCCACTGCTTATCCTGTGCGCTGCTCCTCCTGACTGTGCGCACAAAGGGCTCCGCAAGGGGGAGGGGAGAAGGGGGATTAACAGGCAACACAACATCTTTCACATGGGACAAAAACACAAAGGGTTTGTCTGCACGGCAAGTCACTGCCCGGCAAGCCAGGGTGTGAATCTCCAGCGCACCACCTGGCCACGCAGCTACGTCCCACGTGGACGCCGCTACGGTGCAGTGAAAGCCTCGGAGTGCAGCTTGGCTTACTGCTCCTTGGAAGCGTTACTGCGCAGAAAGCTGGGAATTCACACCCTGGCTCGCCACGCGGGAGCAGCAAAATACTTACGTACGTGCCTGAACTTAAGTGGGCGACTGGTCCCATTGTTGCGGTCAGTACTCAAGTGCTTTGCTGGTGTGGGGTCTCCCCCTGAGCCCATTGAAATGAATGGAAATACTCCCAGGGCAGGTCTACGCTGCAGTACCAGACCCGTGGCACTGACACAGGTCAGCTGACTCGGGCTGGCAGAGCTCTACAATGGCAATGTAGACATTCAGGCTCTGGGCTCGGAGACCCCACGTGGAAGCCATGGCACTCGTTACAATGCCTCTCTCTGCTAGTCACTGTCTAAGGGGCCCGCCACTCCGCAGTGTGATTATTCATAGTCCGTGAAACAAGGAGGAAAGGGCTTGACAATGGGGACAATACGGAAATACATGTTAGAAATTGCTGATGGGGAAACCTGTGCTGGGTTCCATCTTAGCCCATCTCCCAGCCAATGCTGGGCCATTCCTCCTCTCTCTCCTCTACTCCGTTCTAGTTTTAAGTGTGTCAAGTGACTGGGCTTTCACCCTTTGTCTGGGAAGAGACTGCAGTCATCACCTTGCCATTAGGAATTCCCTAGGATGACCAGACAGCAAATGTGAAAAACCAGGACGGGGGTGGGGGTAATAGGAGCCTATATAAGAGAAAGACCCAAAAATCGGGACTGTCCCTATAAAATTGGGACATCTGGTCACCCTAGAATTCCCTGAGCTTCCTTTTAGCAGAGTTTGATCCTGATACTCCAAATTATCCACCTAAACAATTCCTCTCTCTGGCCTGGCTGGGGTCAGGAAATATCTCCTGGCCCCCTTCTGATCTGTCCAGCTAGCGGCTTTGGGCACAGAAAGGTGATGACCATCAGAGAAACATTCCACGCATTCTCCGGAGGAGCAAAGTGAATCTTTTGTGTCTTTTTCACCTTTGCAGGAAAAACCGAAGTTTTTCCATCAGACCCATCGAGAGACGTGTCAACTCCTCCAAGCTCATCAGAGTGGTAAGTTCTGGAGGCCTCTGGAAAAGGTGTTTTTCCTCAGCGCCACTGCGGCAGGATGATCCTACAGCAATGTTAAGTGGGTGCATTCCTGATGCCTTTGCTTTTGCTTCCCTCTTCCTCTTGTTGTACCTGGTGCTGGGCGCTCTAGCTCTTAAGCGTTGCTCGTGCTTGGAGAGAGACAGGACAGGGTGGGCCAACCCTGGTGTGAACTGGGCCAATGTGGGCTTGTGCAAATCTGCTGGAGACTGGCTCTTTGAGGGCAGGACCTTGAAGGAGGGGAGAGGAAGTGCCTAGAGATAGCGAGGAGCGTGTCCAAGAGTTCAGACCCAGGAATGGAAATTAGGAACTCTTAGCTCCCTCTGATATTGGGCAACCCTTTCTGTGCCTCAGTTTCCCAGTTCAGTAATGTCACAGTTACGGAGCTCATTGCACCCCTGTCCCCTTTGGGTCTGTTTGAGTGCATCCCCCCAGTGTCGGGCCTCATGCCCTTACTTATCCTGCAGTTAGACCAGGCTCAGAGTACAATCCCCACCCACCCACCTATGCCAACCACTTCCGTGCAGGTCTGACTGGACGCCTGCTTTTCTTCCCTTCAGGAGTTTCAGAGGGTAGCTCTGACCCTCTGGCCCAGGCTACCTCTGACTCCTCCACAAGGGGGAATGAAGCATCTCAGGTTCACCTGGGAGTAGTTACTCAGGGAGTTAATCACTCCGGCAGGGAGGTACTGGGGCATGCTAAAAGGTTAAGGAGCTCAGTTAGACGGGGAACGTCGGAGGAGAAAGGTGGCTGCCAGAGAGACAGAGGGATTGCAGAGAGAGGATCCTTCCAGCAGACTGATGAGAAGCTGCCAGACAAAACCACCACTCCAAAGAGGGAGAAACAGGGCTGACAGCTGGGGAAGGCTGCACAGACGAGAAGTAGCTCTGGGAACAGCAAGGGACTGAGACGAACTGGTTCTGGTTGTTGTAAACAAGGGACCTGAGCTGGAACCCAGTGGAGTGGGCAGGCCTGGGCACTGCCCGACCCCCCCAACCCAGCCAGGGACTTTTAGAGAAGAAGCTCCTAAACCCATGAGACCTAGGGCTGATTAGCCCCTACTAGAGCCCTACTCAGTCCCAAGGGGGCCCTTGGGAGGTGACAGTGGCCGGTGATGCACCATGCAAGTATGTTTATTAGCAAACGGAACAAAGCATTGCACAAAATGACTTCAAAACCATAAGCATGCCTAGGCTCCTCCATGCTTACACTTCACTACAAGCGAAGTTACGATGGGCTTTCCTCTGGCGTTACAGAACAGACCCGATTTACGTTCGTTTAGGAAGGCAAGGGGCTCCTGACACCCAGCCTCGGCCCAGTTTGCCTTCAAGAGAACATATGCCCCAGACTCTCTCTCTCCCCCCACCCCCACTTCTTAGGCACAATTGCCTTCCCCCCCCCCCAAAGCCCCACCCAACCTGTGTGTGCCCGAGCCCACTTACCATATTGCTCAATGGCCTTTCTAACAGGGCCGTGGTGTAAGATCATCTATTTGCCAGTGATTGGTATTTCCCAGCCAGCCAGGGCATAAGAGTTCTCCCATGGTTGTAGCTATGTTGTTTGGCACTTAAACAAATTCAGTCTTAACGGCTCGCAGTCCCAGGCCCTGTGACTGTGGGGGAGGGTAACGAACCTGTCAGCTCCCTCTGACATACCAACTCCCCACCCTGTACAGGCAGTACTGGGTGGGGTAAAGACCCAGGTGCACCACAGAGCACCCCCATGTTCATCACAAGTCAAATGAGCAAAACTGCTCTTAATTACCTGCCTGGCTGAGCTTTTGCAAGGAATAATTATTAAGTACTACAGGGCAGGGGCTTTCTTTATTTTTGTCTCTTGTATTGAGCTGAGCCCAATGGTGCATAATTAATGACTAGACCAGGGATCGGCAACCTTTGGCACGCGGCCCACCAGGGTAAGCACCCTGGTGGGCCGGGCCGGTTTGTTTACCTGCCGCGTCTGCAGGTTTGGTCGATCGCGGCTCCCACTGGCCGCGGTTTGCCGCTCCAGGCCAATGGGGGCGGCGGGAAGCTGTGCGGGCCGAGGGATGTGCTGGCCGCCACTTCCCGCCACCCCCATTGGCCTGGAGCAGCGAACCGCAGCCAGTGGGAGCCGCGATCGGCTGAACCTGCGGACGCGGCAGGTAAACAAACTGGCCCGGCCAGCCAGGGTGCTTACCCTGGCTGGCCATGTGCCAAAGGTTGCCGACCCCTGAACTAGACCGT